ATGACGTCAGTCAGGCCGCGGGGCCCGACGGGAGTACAGGCAAGACAAAAGGCGCCGACCGCCGCCGCCGCTGCCGCCGCCGCCGCCGTCGCCGCCGACGACGACGACGATGACGACGACGACGACGACGACGACGACGACGACGACGATAGCGACGACGAGGCGGCCTCTTCGAGGCGCGTGAGCACCACGGATATTCGTGGCATGAATTTGGAAAAATTAGCTAAAGACTGATAACGATGAACATCGAGATGTTAAATAAATTCAGTAATAAACTAATATATTAAGTGGGTAACATATGATTTTATTAGATTAGATTAGATAAGACAATTAGATAAATTGTATTAAAATTGTATTAGATAAAATTGAAATTTGAAATCGCTTCGATTAATGGAGATAGAAAAAGGTACAAAGATCTCGACGGGCGACAGTTTCTTGTTTCTCAAAATGATGAAAGACATTTTCTTTTATCTTAATTAATACAGCCTTCGTGGGCACCACCTTCGATGAGAGGCAAAGATAACCGATTAACACGAGAAAGATAATTAAAGACAGAGCTAATAGATGATTTTCTCGATGAATTTTCTCATCGAGATCTCCGGATTACAAAAAGATTGCTAGAGAAGAAAATCCGTGCCGTGGCACGAGGTGAATGCCGAGAATGCCAGACTGCCATTCGTCGCACGTGCAAGACGTACGCATGCATATGCCATGCCGCTCTTGCGAGCTCCGGCGATCGTAACTCGAGTCACGGAATCGAAAGTTGAATATAGCGCCCGTGCGAGCGGGCCCTTTACTCGCGTTTTTGTTCCCTACCCGCCGATGAATATTGTTCGGCGCATTCCTGCGGAACGCCGCGTACGCTCGCGAGTTTCCCATTGCGTTTCGCGCGATTAGTCCCGGTATCGATTGCAAAAGCCCGTCTACTGCCTATTCTTTCCGATCGGAAATCGAAGTGATTTATACCTCTGTGGAATCTACTCTCTGTGCCTTTGTCTAGATTCTGTAAAGTGCATGCGAAGCAACGTACGACGATAACGGTCGGAAGCAAAAAAGCAAAAAGAGAAGAATAAATGAACGCTGAAGAGGAACACCCTCTCCCTGCGGAGTATTTCCTTCTCCCTCCTTTTTAATGCCGCGGCATCAAGTTTGGCTGTAACAAAACGACTGTCTCGAGAGGACAATTTAATCCAAGCAGCTGGTGAGTGATTTATGTGCTCACGTAATTTATTATGGCGCGATCGCGGCAGTCATTTTCGCGAGGCTCGTTCCCTCATGGTAGGAAGGACCACCCCGTACGATCGTCGGGCCCCGAGACCCCCCCGCTCCTCGCCTCGGTAAAACGGTCGAAAGAAATAATTTCCAGCATGAATTATTGATAACGGGCGATTGATTGTTCAGCGATCAAGACTTAATGTCCATGATTCGCGTGCGGACGTGACGAGATAGCGAGGAGGGGGGGGGGAGGGGGGGAGGGCCCGTGTCTGATTTGAATTCGCTCGACGAAGCGTCGCGCATCGTTAATTTTTACCTGCGAGGCAGCGGCGGCCTCGCCGGGCCGAGGGTGCTCTTAGACACGGAGGTGCTTAGAGAATTCCGAAATAATTGCGGCATGCACCCGTCGCCGGGTGTTCATTATCCGCGTGTCGTGAGACGTCAATTAAACCTTTTTCCCTTGCCGATCGGCCTCGATAAATTATTACGTGCGAAGAGCCGGGCCGCACTGTACTTTGCGATCGCGACACTACCGCGATTCACGAGCCGCGAGCCGTACAATTACGCTCTCTACGAGACTTTTCTTTATGGTAATGCATCCCCTGCGTCCCTCTGTCGCGGCCCCCTTATCGCTCTTAAGCGGTAATAACAACGTGTTATCTGGGTATTAATTGAATCTCATTAAGGATCGCCTCATCGAGGTATGCGATCGCTCCAATTTTCGCATGATGAAGTACGCGGAACGTCTCACGGCCCGCAAGAATTACAGGATATGATCGCTAAATTTGTTATTCGAGGCTTTTAACTGTGTAGCCGATCATCATCCAATTACGACAACAGTCTCTCCGAGCCATTTCAATCGCGCATCCTTTCATCTGGCGTTTCTGATTATCGATGAATGGACCGATAATGTTTAAGGAATAAATGAGAAAGAACTTTCGAATGTGAATCTATTACATCGTGTTAAAATTATATATTTAACACGAAAAAAAAAAATATGAATTTAATCCATTCCATTTTGCATGCCGTTTGAATAAAAAAAAAACAAATTTCTTATATATTGGCAATATATAAATAAAACGCGCACAAAAGGAGAGAATTAATAAAGCGTTTTCGCGCATCATTAACTAATTTTTAAGTATGACCGGATCAATGTACATCTTCCTGGTTCATAAAAGACATATCGTTTCCGAGCTGCGACAGATAATTATCGAGCGTTCCGAACGATTCCTCCGTGGGGAGGAGCAAAGGGTCAATTTCGCAGGCACGGAGCGGAGCGACGAAAGTTCGTTGCGTCGATTATGCAATCTGCCGACGATATACGAATGCCGACAATCGGTCCT